GATTTTTACAGGAGATCCCAGAGCACCGTAGACCACAGACTAGATCGATGACTGCGCAGCTCTCTGCTAGCCGAGCTCTGACCCTTCCAGACATACAGACACAGCCTAACCACGGACAGCTCCAATTAGGCGGCCCCACTGACATTTGACATGTCAGTCACATCGCTTACATGGAATGCCCGTGGTCTGGCTAATAGGACCACCCTTGCTCATGTTAGATCTCTCATACGTGAGCATAACCTTGACTTTGCGGCTTTCTTAGAGCCTATGACTCGTGACCCTTCTTTTGACGATTATTCGCGGCGTCTCGGTTTTCATGCCGGGATGAGAAACACCTCAAACAAGATTTGGTTTTTCCACTCGCGTGACTTTACTTGCCAGATCCTTCGAGATACTGATCAAGTCTTGCACGTGAAGCTCACCGCCGCCCATCTTCCGGAGCCGATCTTCCACACTTTGGTTTACGCCAGCTGTGCGAGGGTCGGTCGCTATGACCTCTGGGACACCATGCGTGAGATTGCCGAGAGTATGGAGGGATTACCGTGGATGATTAGCGGTGATTTCAACATATTCCTGCACCCCGATGAACGCATGGGTGGTATATCGGACCGCTCTGCGGAGATCTTAGATTTCTCGCATGCCGTATCGGATTGTGAGCTCATCGACGCTGGTTACGAAGGAACTCCCTTTACGTGGGAGAGGGCCGGAGTCAAGGAGAGGCTCGACCGCGCTCTCTATTCAGAGGCGTGGACGAGGGTTTTTGCGACCACGGTTGTGACGCACCTTCCTCGAATTGGATCCGATCATGCCCCCCTTCTGATTCGTTGTCGGTTCTCTATTTCCCCTCGGCGAGCGTCTTTCCGTTTCCAGAACATGTGGACCCGCCACCATTCTTACTACGATACAATTAGAGCCTCCTGGCAGCAGGATACGCATCTCTATGGGATGCGCAACCTGCAGGAGAAGCTCAAGAGACTTCGCTGCGTTTTGAAGCAGTGGAATTGGACGATTTTTGGTGACATTTCTCAGCGCCTTACTGCAGCTCAGACTGCGTATGCGGAGGCGGAACGGACGTATGATTTGGATTCTTCGCCAGAGAATAGGTCCGAGATGCGCCGCTGCCATGCTGAGTACCAGTTGCGCCTCCTCATGGAGGAAGATTTCTGGAAGCAGAAGGCTGCTGTGCGTTGGGTGGCTGAGGGGGAGCGTAATACCAAGTTCTTCCAGGGATTCGTGAGGCAGAAGCGAGTCAAGTCGTATATCCATAGTGTCGAAGATAACGGGTCATCCGTGACCCAGGAGTCCCAGATGCGGGAGTCGGCTAGGGCTTACTTCCTCTCTCTCTTTTCCTCTGAGCGGAATTTGCTTACGCACCCCGACCCGGCCCTCTTTCCGACCATCCCGCAGTTGATCGACCTTGTTGACCTCTGTGACCTCCCGAGTAAGGAGGAAGTCAGGGAGGCTGTGTTTGGGATTGATCCCAACAGCGTCTCTGGGCCGGATGGTTTTTCGTCCCTCTTCTTCCAGTCTTGCTGGGAGATTGTTGGTGCTGACGTAGAGGAAGCTGTGAGGGATTTTTTC